ATATAGCGTGTATATTACACAAATAGAAGAACATCATGGTGTAGTATGTTTACTCATTTTAAAATGACAAGATTGGTTTTTGGAAAAATTCACAATTTTCTAAGCCCGAATGTTGGCTGTAAATCAATACTACACTTCACCAAGCTGTTGGAATAGATGAAAGGTTTCACTAACTGCTCATCCATTCTACACCAACTAAAAGTCGGAACACGCCCACTTCCGTACCACATTCCAAACGTCCATCACAAACGTTTCACATTTCAAATTTTAAGCCAAGGTAACTGAGTTGGAAGGATAGCGGACTTAAAGAGGTTTTCGAGAGTGGGTATTTTAACCTTTAAATTCTCACTTTAGTGAATAACCCTGATGGTAAATAACAACGAAAGTGGGAGTTTGGGGTGGGGGGGGGGGAAGTTTATTAGACTGAGAGTGTGTGTTTGGAGCCTGAAGGGATGTTTATAGATTTAAGGCCTACGGGGTTGTGACAGACTGTTGCTTCTCGAAACACTAGTTGGAGGGGTACAGTGCTAACAAGCTCTCTGAGCCCCTGGCACAGTTGCCAACTTACCTGCATTTATGGCACTGGTATTAGTGCAGCTCTTCGGAATCACTAATGTTACCACCTAACTGCTAAAATAATGTCCTAAAACATGCAAAATTAGAAGCATCCACTGGAGAGGGCCAGAAGGACACCTGGGCATCTGCTAACTAGTTGCTGAATGTTCTCCTTGAGCCGATAATTGATTACATGTTTATAAACCTTTCAGTATTTTATATTGTCGTTTCCCGTGGTTGAAGATCAAGTGATGAAAGCGATTGGGGAGAACCTCTTCCAGATGCTTCTGGTAATTGTCGATTTTTTTTTTACCACTGTTTGACATTCGTAGAATTATTCATAATCCAGAGATTTTAAAATTTGAGGCCACAAACTAGATTTCCTGGTCAATTCTGGTATTAACCCTTTTAGTGTGTGGGTTTTTGTTTTATGTCTCTCCATTGAATGCTGTGTGACATAACAGTTAACAAGGTGTACTATGCTACACAGTATCAGGCATAAGTCAGGAGTTCTGTTAGTGCTCAGCCTTTCCTGTTATTGTAACTCCCATCATTTTCAGCAGTATGCGTTTAGAATGCCAGCTTTCAGATGTCAAATATTGACCGTTTGAATGACTTTGAAATTGCATTATAGATCCTACATCATGCCATACTTGTGGCAGCACTGATAACAGCACAGTTTGAAATCATGCCACAAAAGCTAAGATTAGCTAACGAAACTTTCGGATAGAACCTAGTCCTCCTAACCGTGCTGTAAAGTAATAATTGCATAGTGTTTGCTGCTCTGTAATGTGGCTAATCTTTGTACACCATAATATAATGGTTCTCCGGACTTAAACTTTTCAGGGCTTAAAATTTCCACTGGCCATTGGCTAGTGAAAATTTAGCCCTGGTGTGCATGCTATGGCTTGAATTAATGAGTAACCTTTAAGGCCTGGCCAGTAGCCTATGAGTTTAAATAAATATATACATATATAAATATATATATATATATATGTATATATATATATATATATATATGTATATATATATATAGATATATATATATATATATATACACACCCTGTTTCCCCAAAAATAAGATATCCCCTGAAAATAATCCCTAGCTTATTTTCGGGGGATGCTTGTATTATAAGCCTTACTCCGAAAATAAGCCCTAGTCGCTAATCTATGTTCGGGGAATTTTACCCAAACATAGATTCATGGGATTCCCTACGCTAGTTCGCTAATCTATGTTCTGGGAAGTTTCCCTTAACATAGATTTGCAGGATACCATGCCCTAGTGAACTGGTCTATGTTCGGGGGAATTCCCCCGAACGTAGACCTGCTTTCTAGCACATGCTTGCTACTGTTTTTCCCCAAAACAAGACATCCCCAAAAATAAGTCATGTGCGTTTTTCGGGTGGGGTGGGGAGGGATTAATATAAGACCCAGTCTTATTTTGGGGAAAAGACGCTATATATTCCACGGTCCCGCACTCACTTTTCACAATTCCTTGCGAAAGTGCACCTCCAGCCTCACAAAATAGATTACCGTACCTCAGAGAGCACTCAGTGGTCGTCTTATAAACATAAAATGTATTTTAAAAAATCGGTTATAACATCACCGGTTTAGTCCTTGCTTGGACCCATTAGAATAAAGGATTTGTAGATAAAGAGATATTCATTTACTTTTTTGATTTTTTTTTTTTACATTTGTGATTTTGTTTTTTTTAATCTTAGGACAATGCGGATGGATTGTACATGAAGATTGACAACATTCAAGCTGACATATTGAGATCCAACCAAGTTAACATCCCTGGCGGTAGGTGATCATTGGATCTTTGTTACACTGGTGGAACTGACCAATCAGATGCTGACATTTTCTTTCCTTTGCAGTTAAAGAGGTTACAGAGTGAAGTCTTTGCTCTCGGTCCTTTAAGCTTGAAGACTACATTCTTTCTATTTGAGTGATCACAAGGGATATCTATCAATCCGTGTCTCACCCAGAGATCAAGAAAACTGTTCACACAATAAAATATTCAGCACAATAAAATACTCAACACGATTTCAAATCTAGTAAAGAATGCACAGTATCTTCTTAATTTAAACTACAGCCTCCCTAATGCAGCTCACACACTTCCAATTCACTTAGAATTAGAAACATAGAAACACAGAATGTGACGGCAGATAAGAACCATTCGGCCCATCTAGTCTGCCCAATTTTCTAAATACTTTCATTAGTCCCTGGCCTTATTTTATAGTTAGGATAGCCTTATGCCTATCCCACGCATGCTTAAACTCCTTTACTGTGTTAACCTCTACCACTTCAGCTGGAAGGCTATTCCATGCATCCACTACCCTCTCAGTAAAGTAATACTTCCTGATATTATTTTTAAACCTTTGTCCCTCTAATTTAAGACTATGTCCTCTTGTTGTGGTAGTTTTTCTTCTTTTAAATATAGTCTCCTCCTTTACTGTGTTGATTCCCTTTATATATTTAAATGTTTCTATCATATCCCCCCTGTTTCATCTTTCCTCCAAGCTATGCATGTTAAGATCCTTTAACCTTTCCTGGTAAGTTTTATCCTGCAATCCATGAACCAGTTTAGTAGCCCTTCTCTGAACTCTTTCTAAGGTATTGTGGCAAACCTAGCCACCAAGAGACTGAGAAAGGACTTTCAAGATTCGAATGAACTTGGATTAAAATGGCCGTATTGCTATTAGGACGGTTATCTTCAGGCAATCGGTTCATAAACTACATCCATTATATTATCCACGAAAACGTGTAAAATACCGAATGAGGGACCACCCCGATGTAGTCGTGTGTCCCTCATTACCGAAGGCAACAATGTTGCAAAGGCTGGTAATTGAGGTTCGTGTGCGGCCGCCATTCGTCTGCCAAACACGTGGCAGCGGCCATCTTACGCACGAACAGCGGTGTTTGGTCGTCGAGTGTCTGGAACTCAAATCGGACACTCGACTAACCAAGCACCGCTAAGACCTCCAGCACTCCGGAAAGGGACAAATAAAACGCACGAACAGCCCAGCATTCGGTAGGATGAATCCCGCGAACTAGGGGATTCATCCGACTGCAAAGTCAAGCATTGATGACAAAGGCTTTCGGGACTTTTTATATGTGAACTGAGACCGACCGCAGGGCCAGAACTCATGGAACTATTTTCGGGTACTGTGCCTGTGTGGTCAGTCAAACCTTTTCCCTTCAATAACTCCAAAACTCCTGGTCCGATCTGGGTGATTTTTGAGTATGTTTCTCACCCAGATCAGGGCTTCCAGGGGATCTCTCATTTAAAGGTGTACCCCCTGTATTTGAGGTACATCCAAGAATTGGAGAAAAGTGTGTACATTTTAATAAGTTTAACTGTTAAGCTAAGGGGAGGAGATGTGGGGGAGGTACCGACTATGTGATTGGATACTGTAATAATTATGGAAGTTGCCTCCCTTGCATGGGAAAAACACATAAAAGCAGAGCTTGTGCATTAAAGGCCAGTTGACTCCCAGACTATGTGTCGTCTAGTCCTTGGGGAGGGGGATTATGCTGTGTTTTATACTTCTGTATGCTGAATCTTTGTTCCAGCGGAGAATCCTTAGATTAACCCCTGGTACTCCGCTACAGGTATCAATATCCTTCTGAAGATACGGTCTCCAGTACTGCATACAATACTCCAAGTGAGGTCTTACCAGTGTTCTGTACAATGGCATGAGCACTTCCCTCTTTCTACTGCTAATACCTCTCCCTATACAACCAAGCATTTTGCTAGCATTTCCTGCTGCTCTATTACATTGTCTGCCTAACTTTAAGTCATCAGAACTAATCACCCCTAAATCCCTTTCCTCAGATGTTGAAGTTAGAACTCTATCAAATATTCTGTACTCTGCCCTTGGGTTTTTACGTCCAAGATGCATTATCTTGCACTTATCCACATTAAATGTCAGTTGCCACAACTCTGACCATTTTTCTAGTTTACCTAAATCATTTGCCATTTGGCTTATCACTCCTGGAACATCAAACCTGTTACATATCTTAGTATCATCGGCAAAAAGATATACCTTACCATCAAGACCTTCTGCAATATTACTAATAAAAATATTAAAGAGAATGGGTCCAAGTACAGATCCCTGAGGTACCCCACTGGTGACAAGCCCAAGCTTCGAATATACTCCATTGACTACAACCCTCTGTTGCCTGTCACTCAGCCTTTGCCTTACCCATTCAACAATATTAGAATCCAAACTTAAAGATTGCAGTTTATTGATAAGCCTTCTATGTGCAACAGTGTCAAAAGCCTTACTGAAAACTAGGTAAGCAATGTCTACTGCACCACCCTGATCTATAATTTTAGTTACCCAATCAAAAAAAATCAATAAGATTAGTTTGGCATGATCTCCCTGGAGTAAACCCATGTTGTCTCTGATCTTGAAATCCATGTGTTTTTAGATGTTCAACAATCCTATCCTTTAACATCACTTTCCATCACTTTCCCCACTACTGAAGTAAGGCTTACTGGCCTATAGTTGCCCGACTCCTCCCTATTACCTTTCTTGTGAATCGGCACAACATTCGCTAACTTCCAATCTTCTGGGACTACTCCTGTTAACAATGATTGGTTAAATAAATCTGTTAATGGTTTTGCTAGTACACCACTAAGCTCTTTTAACCCCTTAAGGACACAACTTCTGGAATAAAAGGGAATCATGACGGAATATTTCCGTCATGTGTCCTTAAGGGGTTAACAGCTTTGGGTGTATTCCATGAGGTCCTATTGACTTATTTGTCTTTACTTTTGACAGTTGAAATAGAACCTATTCCTCTGTAATAAATTACTCATTTATCCTTCTTAACTGAGGTCCCTTTCCTTTATTTTCATCTGTAAATACCGAACAGCTAGACCTTTATCCTCCTCTACATATCTTCCTTCTTTTGTTTTTAATCTAACTAATCCTTGTTTTACTTTTCTTTTCTTATTTATGTATCTAAAAAAGGTTTTGTCCCTCTTTTTTTACTGACTGTGCTATTTTCTCTTCTGTGTGTGATTTGGAAGCTCTTGTAACTTGCTTAGCCTCTTTCTGCCTAATCTTATAGATCATTCTGTCTTCCTCACTCTGGTTTTTTTTTTTTATAATTACTAAATGCTAACTTTTTGTTTTTTACTATTTTGGCCACATCTGCGGAGTACCACAGTGGTTTCTTGAATTTTTTTGCTATTACTGACAAGCCTAATGCAATTTTCTGTTACCTTCAGTAGTGCAACTTTTAAATAATCCCATTTCTATTGGACTGCATTTAAATTGCTCCAGTCTGATAATGACTCCTTTACACATATTCAAATTTTAGAAAAGTCTGTTTTTCTAAAGTCTAAAACTTTTGTTTTTGTGTGGTGTGACTCAGTCACTGTTCTTATATTAAACCACACTGACTGATGATCACTGGATCCTAAACTTTCACCTACAGTAATATCTGATACCAAATCTCCATTTGTTAACACTAAATCTAGTATGGCCTCTTTACGAGTTGGCTCCTCAACGACTTGTTTTAGAGACAATCCCAGTAGGGAGTTTAGAATATGTGTGCTCCTGGCACAAGCAGCTATTTTTGTTTTCCAATTCACATCAGGAAGATTAAAGTCACCCATGATGATAACTTCCCCCTTCATTGTCATTTTGGCTATTTCCTCAACTAGTAGATTATCTAACTCTTCAATTTGTCCTGGGGGCCTATAAATCACACCTACACAAGTTACTGTGTGATTACCAAATTCTAACGTAACCCAAACGGACTCTATGTTTGCCTCACTAACTTTTATTAGGCTAGATTTTATGCTATCCTTCACATACAGGGCCACCCCTCCCCCTTTCTTGCCTTCCCTATCTTTCCTATATAAAGAGTACCCTGGTATTGCTATGTCCCAGTCATTTTTCTCATTGTACCATGTCTCAGTAACAGTGACTAAATCTACACTATCAGTTGCCATTATTGCCACAAGTTCATGGATCTTATTTCCTAAACTGCGAGCATTTGTAGACATGACTCTAAGCTTATCATTTTTTAACACACTTGCTACAGGCACCTTCTGTCCTTGTTTTGGGGACAATTGGATTGATGTTTTATCACCCTTTCCCTCCCCCTCCACCCCCCCAGTTTAAATACATCCAAGCAAAACCTCTGAACTGCTCACTGAGAACATTTGTCCCCTTTTGAGAAAGATGAAAACCATCGTTTTTGAACATTTTATTTCCATTCCAAACAGAGCTATCATGAGAAATAAAGCCAAATCCTTGCTCTCGACACCATTCACCAAGCCACAAGTTAAAGTCCCTAATACGCATCCGCCTGTCGTTCTGAGTGTTATGCACAGGCAGAACTTCAGAGAATGACAGTGTGGAAGCAACCTGCCGTATATCATTGTCAAAAACACTAAAAACTTCCTTAAAGGACCACTATAGTGCCAGGAAAACATACTTGTTTTCCTGGCACTATAGTGCCCTGAGGGTGCCCCCACCCTCAGGGTCCCCCTCCCGCCCGGCTCTGGAAAGGGGTTAAAACTTACCTTTTTCCAGTGCTGGGCGGGGAGCTCTCCTCCTCCGATCCTCCTCTTCTCCTCCCCGTCGGCTGAATGCGCACGCGCGGCAAGAGCTGCGCGCGCATTCAGCCGGTCACATAGGAAAGCATTCATAATGCTTTCCTATGGACGCTGGCGTGCTCTCACTGTGAAAATCACAGTGAGAAGCACGCAAGCGCCTCTAGCGGGCTGTCAATGAGACAGCCACTAGAGGAAATAGGGGAAGGCTTAACCCATTCATAAACATAGCAGTTTCTCTGAAACTGCTATGTTTATGAAAAAATGGGTTAACCCTAGCTGGACCAGGCACCCAGACCACTTCATTAAGCTGAAGTGGTTTAGGTGCCTAGAGTGGTCCTTTAACCTCTGAAACCTCATTGCAAGCCAAGTCATTTGACCCTAGATGGACAAGTGCATCCAATTCCCCTTCCTGCTTTTCTCGCTTAACAATTCTTAGAAGTTCCTACTTTAGTGAATACTATGGTATATTACATTGCATTTGATTATCCAATAAAATAATGACATCAATCAGCTTGTGTTGGTTGCTGTTGGAGCAACTCTGTACCAGGGCTGCATTACTAAGAGAACATCATTAGAATGTCATTCACTGTGTTGCATTTTTTACCTCTGCAAGAATTATGGTTGGGGGGATTTAAAGTTGGGATACTATCCACATTAGCGTATGTACTCTGGATGCTGTGGTGTTCTGTCACTGAGAGTGGAGGGATTTATATGGTGCACAGCTGTACCCCTCACAGTAATGACGTGCAGCTCTGTAAACAGCGTTTTACTCTTACTCAAATGCCGCAGACAAATAGTTTTTTTGTTTTAACTCTTCTGGTTAATGGCAGCATTTTTAAAGTGGATCGTGTTTGGGCACCTGTAAGCAAAGCACCCTTTACTCCAGCTTTACATATATAAAGAAAAATGTATGCCTGGATCTTCCATTCAATCTCTTGGAATCTACAGGAACCTGAACTGTCCACTACCTACTGTGCAAGAGGCAGTGAGAGTGATGAGCTGTGTTGGATCCTTATTGCTGAATTGAATACTAGCAAATCACACAGCTTTGTATTGTGCTTGTTCCTCATGAGATTGTACATGGTATGTGTGCATTCCTGTGGTGCGTCGCTTGGATATGACCAGGAAGGCTATCCAGTTTTCAAGGAAAATTGTAGTACTCTTCTGATTTAAACATTTTTCTTCTATGTCATCAATAAAATGTTACAATTTTAGTATAACACACTACTTTCTGCTCCACTGGTACTTATTTCTGACTCACATAGGGTTAATTGCCAAACTCCAAATTGTACTGAATTGAAAACCAAATGGCAAACTTTAGGAAAGAATATCTCATCTGCAGAAACATTCTCCAGCTTAGTCATAGTCACAGTTTACTATATTAGTAGGAATGTATCTAATTTGTTTCATGAATAAACCTGATAGACTCCAATATTCATTTAATAGATCCCTAAAAGAAAACTGAATGTGGTGCCGAACGTTCTCTGGTTGGTATTTTAGGGGATATTGGCATATGCAAGCCTGCTGTTAGCTGGCAGAGTTGAAGGGATGTGGAGTCAAAGAACAGCTGGAGGTTATATTTGGACCCCCTGTTTGGAACAGTGTTAATTGTGGCGGAAAATTTCAATTTATTTTTAGTCATAGTATTTTGAATAAAAAGCCGTTTTAGTCGACTAAATCTCCAGTAGATTTTAGTCGATATGACAAATCTAATGGGTTTAGTTAAAACCCCTATCTGTCTCTTTTGCCCCTTCCTCAGCCCCTCTGTGCCTCTTTGTGTCATATTCTATTGACTAAAATGCCATTTTAGTTTTAGTCATCTACAATGTGACTAAAATTGTTAGTCGACAAAATTAACACTGATTTGGGAAGGTTACTGTAATGAGTCCTGAGTTTTGGTATGCCAGTAGTTGTGAACTCTCCTCATGGGAAAGTAAGTTCAACTCAGCAAGAGACAGGCTTCCCGAACTCTAGACCCCCTAAACCAAGTATCTCAAGTTCTGGCCCAAGATGTTAATGGCCTAGAGCTCTCTTCTTTGAATGCAAAATATGGCCAGAGAATCATGGATGTCAGCAGCATCTGGGAGACCAAAGTTCGAGAAGCCTGCCCTAACCTTAGCTGCAATTTTCAAAATGTCCAGATCTCGGTGTCATTAGAACGCTGCCCTATTCAAAACTGTGTTGTCACTTGTGGGTATTACACGTTTTTTTCTCCAAACATGGACCAGCGTGACATGTCCACATGCACAGTTACTGGAGTAGTATGAGATGTTAAAGCTATAGTTTGGTGACTATAGAGTCCCTTTAATACTCTCCATACACGTTCCAGCTATAGCTGGCTGTAATCATAGATACTTCAGGAAGCTGGGATTTCTATATACATGTTATAAACACAAAAAATAAATGAAAGATAAAAAAATATATAAACACCTATGTTAGTCCAGCCAAAAAGGTAAGTAGGCAAAGTATATAAAATGCAGTATGTATGTATATAAAAACAATAATTAAAGAGCTACAGTAGGATTACAAAAATATAAATTCACAGCTGTAGATTATATTGTTTCATTTGAATGATCATTGACTGATTTTATAATTTGATACATACAGATGGCTTTCCTTCAATAATGTTTCCTCCACCACTTTACAACGTATTTTATCTGTCTATAGTTTTGTTTCAAAAATACTGTTGTATTGTATCTTTGTCAAAAAGTTTTTCCATGAATTAATTTGAAAAGGAAAACTGACACTATACATACTGCAATGAGGGAATACTTTTGTTGCTAATTTGTGTATGGCTAGATAAAAATGTAAACATATTGTAGGAGAAAGGGCGAACCAACCTACGAAGTCTCTATCCTTAAACTAGCGTCTGAGAGTCTTACCCTCCTCCGTAGGGAGGGACTTTATGTGCCATTATCCGTGTCTGCCTAGGTTGATTTATCTTATGCCAAGGTTTCGTAGCCCGTATCGCGTGGGAACCCCCAAAGGAAGGGAGGCTGGGTGGATTTAAATAAATAAAATAAAAAAATAGCAACTTGAGAGTGTGTGAGAAAATGTGTGTGTCTGTCAGTGTGTGTGTATGTGTCTGTCAGGGTGTGTGTGTGTATGTGTCATATATATATATATATATATATATATATATATATATATGAGATTCGGTGTGTAATGGTGTGAAGTATGTATGTGTGTGTGGGGGTGAATGCATGTGAGGATGAAGTGTGTATGTGGGTGAAGAGATGATGTGTGGTATGAAGTGTGTGAGGGGTGCACTGTGTGTGTATACAAAGGTGTACTCTGTGTGGGTGGGAGTGTACTGTATGTGGGGAGTTTACTGTCTGTGATGGTATATTGTGTTCGGGGGTGGGGGGGTGTAGAGAGTGGGATAGGGAAGGGCTTTATAATTTTTACTTTAATAATTGTAAAAAAACAAACAAACAACAAAATATTCCCATTTCCCTGATCTTACCTTGCAGGGAGGGGGTGGCACAATCAGATTCGTGGTGATTGTAAGGCTGCCTATCCATCGGGTACATGGGAGGTCACGAGATGAGAGGTATCTCTCGTGGAGTTCAAGCACTTACACAGACTGACCCATACAAACCCACAGACCGCCCCCCCGCCAAAGACTGACCCATACATACACAAACTGCTGCCGCTCCACACAGACTAACCCATACACATACGCACACATAAAGAATGCTGCCCCCCCCTTACAGACTGACCTATAGACACACACATAATGCCCCCCCCACACAGATTGACCCATACACACACAGACTGATGCATACAAACACACACAAACTGACTCATACACACACAGACTGACCTATACACACACAGAATGACCCATACGCACATACAGACTGACATACACACACACAGACACACAGAGACAGACCCATACACACACAGGCTGACCCCCCCACACACTCACTCATACACACACACAGACTGATCCCCCACAGATTGACCCATACACACACAGACTGACCTATACA